TTTCACAGGAACTAAGTAATTAAACTGTAGAATCATAGAATGGCCCAGGTTGCAAAGGAGCACAGCGCTCATCCAGTCCCAACCCCCTGCTGTGTGCAGGTCACCAACCAGCAGCCCAGGCTGCCCAGAGCCACATCCAGCCTGGCCTTGAATGCCTGCAGGGATGGGGCATCCACAGCCTCTTTGGGCAGCCTGTGCCAGTGCATCACCACCCTCTGAATCCAGTGGTACAAACAGCATGTGCCACTGACAGAAGAGTGGTGCACCTGCTCATACCTTCCGTTTGCAAGGAGAATCCCCATGCGAGGAGAGCTGGGCTCTGTTCCCTCCTTCGCCTCCAGGAATTGAGGGCACTGTTGAGTACCGGTTAATCCTCAAACCAAATGGCCTTATCTGCATTACGTGCCAGCTGGGACCCACGGGGGAATCCTAAAGCTGAGTGGTTACATTAGCCCAAGATAGCTGAGATAATACCAGAGATTTTTCACAGCTCATTAGAGCTGTGAAACAGGAGGTGATGAGAATATGCATCGCATCTGTGAGAGAAGGCCCTGGAGAGCTTTGTCTTGGAGAGAACTCGCTGGCTGACTTCAGAGCAGTGTTCATCTTGGGCAGTGAGGAATGGGAGCAGGCATGGGGAAAGCGATTTGGCAATGCTGAGAGGCAGAGACATTTCTTAGAGCTGGGCTTTGAGCAAGGTGCAGCAGTCAGAGCTGGTTGGGCTTTGGAAGAGCTCTACAAGAGCGAGCAGTGGTAACAGAGCCAGATACCCTCTTAGCTCAGAAGTGCCATCGTCCAGCAGTGGGCTGCTGTAGCTGTGGTCAGCAGCACAGCACTGCACTAGAAGAGGCAAAAAAAAAAAAGTTATTTTGGTGTGCTGAGGGCAGTGGAGAGAGCATATTCAAAGAGATCTAAGCTAGTTGAGGAAAGCTCAGTTTAGACTGCCTTTACTGCATGCCAATCTGTACTGGGTACCGAGTCTTTCCCAAGAACAAACATCTGCATTTGGCCTGCAGCACTGGCGCTGTGTTGAGCTGGGGGCTCCTATGGGGCACCGTGCTGTGCTGGGACTCCTGCAGGCAGAGGGGAAGAGAAGTTGCACAAAAAAGGGACTGAAGTTCTTTCATTCTCTCCTTGTTTTTCTAGGCAGCTTTAAGCATTAGGCCCTTTTTCATTCTCATTTCTAACTTTTATCAGCAGAGAAAACCGCTGAAGAATGACATGAGATAGATTACTCGAGCTGGCAAAGCAAGACTCAAAGCAATGGCTTTTTAAGATGAAATATTGATAGAAAATACTGTGACACAAGACGGTGCTCAAAATTCACACAGTTCTTTATATACAAATGTTTTTTTGTTTTTTTTTTTTTTTGCTCAACTGTACCCTAGCAGTAACCATATCACTTCTCTACCTTAAATATTAAAGCAATTAACTTTTCCAGAAGGGAAAGTATATCCTGTGAGAAACTCTAAAATACATTGGGTTTTTTTTTCACTTTGCAAAATTTTTTTGTATTTTTTTTTCCCCATGTCATTTTCAGCAGTATGCTATGAAACAAAGGGTATAAAAAATAGTTGATTGTGCTGAAGGCGTTGTAACTCTTCAGTCTCCTGTAGCAAAAAGGAAATAAAATAAATTGGAAAGAGATTTTATTTTATTTTTTTCCCCCCACCAGAAATACCCCAAAACCACGATCAATGTTTTTCCTTAGGAAAACCTGAAGAAATCAAAACACGTTCATGAAACATTCATTGAAACAATATGCTGACAAAACAGTTTTTCAATCGGAACTTTTCACCAGCTCTACTTACATATATGTGGCATGCATCCCTTCAAACACGTGTTCCTGGCATACCAGGAGGCCAGCAGGTTTTGTCTCACTTAGCTTTTCTTCCCAGAATAAACCCTACGTCTCCCTGGAGGTCTTTCCTTGCAGACGCCTTACTGGCTGCAGTCTGCTTCTCTTTGCTGTGCTGAACTGACCCACATACCCTGACTGTGAGGTCTCAGTGGAGTCCCAACCCATCCAGCCAGCAGAGCCATCCTGGCCACAGTTGCACAGCCACACTGCTGCAGCTCCCAACTCAGCCCCCAGTCACTACAATTAATACCTTTGTCACCCAGAGTCCTGCTCGTACCCAGCTGGGTGCCCCCACCAAGGCTGCCATCAAGACTGGCACTTCCACGTCCCTCTGTGATGCAGATGCTTTGCTCCACCGCTCAGCGTCTCCTGGTTTGATACATTTTCATACAATCACATGCCAATCATTAGCAAAACTTGCTGTAACCAAATAATGATCAGGGTGAAGGAAATCCATTTGAATCCCAGGAGCCAAACTAATTATTTGGTATCTAATTAATGACACAGTGTATTTGTTGATGCCCTAGTCAAACTATGTGGAGTTCTAATTAACTGCTAAAGAGCTGACAATGCCAAGGGCAGCTAAACTTTTGTTCAGTCAACTATGACACAGAAGTGCTACCTAAATTGTCTGGCATGTTGTGCAGACTTCAGTGCATGGATCAAGAGGACCCAGATCGTGGAAAGCTGCCAAGATGAACCTGGCAAAAGTATGTGAGTGAAATACCATGTCTTGAAGCCATGCCACCTTGCTGGGACAAGGTTCAGTCTCTCACGTCAAGCTACATAAACCAGGGTAATGAGTGAGGAGCACCTCAGTGGCCCAGGAAGGGGCATTCATTAGTCAGCACGTCGTGTGCTGTCAGCTGGGTCAGGGGCACGCTGACTCCTGGCCAAAAAGGACACTTGTGCCTCCACATGAGTGCTTTTTGGACGAGTGGCAAAACACAAAGGGCAACTAAAATAATTACTGAGCCTGTTGTGGAGGTTTTCACACACGCATTTCCATGGTGTGAATACAGCTCAGAGATTCTGTAGCCCTTCTGGTCTGTTTAGGAACATATCATCATATCATCCTCTGAGCTGTTTCAAGAGAACAAAATAGAAGCAATGCATGTGTTGCAACCACAGCATGCAGCTCACAGTCAGGAGGTGACCATCGTGGAAGACATCTCCTTCCCAAATAGGATACACTCACTTCTTTCAATGAGCTCCCTTCATCTCAATAGCAACTTTCATTGACAGATGCAAAGCAAGACTAATGTACTATAGATGGCCCTGGCACAGAGGATTATTAGACAAAGCATTTTTATTTCGTGGGCATTGATTTATTTGTCACAGCCACAGTTTAAATGAAAATGGTAGTTTAAACAAATGAACTTGAATGCTGAACATTCATCCTGATTACTCCTAATAAACGGGTCGCTCTGTTTATTCCTAATAGCAGCCTAAGTGCTCTTAGGGGTGCAGTGGCATGTACCTCTATCTACCTTCAGCCTTAGTCCAGATGGAATTATGAAAACAGGAGTGAAATTTGTGCTCTTACACTGGGGAAATCCAGAAGGAAATTTCACAGATTAAGACACGATGACCTGCTTTTCCTGACTATCCAATGGCAAACAGCCAGCACGCCTTTTTTGTCTTTAAAAGCTCCCCTTAGCTCTCCTGGTGAGTAATCAGACACTTATAAAGAACTGCCACTGGCCTCTCCCCTTTCATCACTAATACTCCAACTGCTTTCCTAAGGCAATGTGAAGGGCCAAAACACTCCTTAACATTTCTGTGGGTGAGCTGTTCCACCTGCAGCTTCGGTCTGGAAAAATTGTAAAGCCAAACTGCATTTTCAAGAATTTTTAGTGGAAAAGAGTTGTGGGGGGTTTTGTTTGTTTGTGTTCTTCCTTCACTACAACCCCCAACAGCAGGACGTTTCCCCTCTCCCCCCTCTGTTAAACATGAGGCTCAAGCACCATCTCTAATACCCCAGGGAATAAATTATTTTTGGAAAGCCAATTCATTTCCATCCTTACTGCAGGTCTAAAGCTATGAGGTTTCTTCACTTCCTCCACCTCCTTTTTTTTTTTTCCCCCCAATGCTAGAAATAGATTAAACTGGCACTTCAGGATGCTGAACTGCACCTTCAGCTGAGCTCTGTGGTTTGTGGAGATTTATCAAAAATGACAAGATTCAACATCTAGATGTCTCGTAGTGCCTAGGAGCTCAAGGAACAGTAACCACAGAAATAAGAAAAGTGTTCAGAAAAAAAGAACTGTGCAGCCCTTCAAAATAAAGGGTCTGAAACGAATAGAAAGATGCTGTGCTGATCAGCACTGCCCATCAGCAAGCAAGAAAGTGTCACTGCTGCCTTTTCAGAGTCAAAGGCAGGAAAGCTGCTCTTCGTTTCTGCTCCAATGGCTGGTTAAATGTCACAGCCACCTGTCCAAGCAATGGAGATGTACAGGTTTTCTGCCATTCCATTTGCAAAAAAGCATGGTATAGCTGATCAGAGAGGACTGCTTATTTGGGATCTCTTCTTCTAAGCTAAGCTATGAGTAAAAAAGAGCAAAACAATATTCTGCGCATTCTTTTTTCCACATGTGTGCTTGTAAAAGCAAATGATATATCTGAAAATCTAAGGAAACTACAGGGCCATCTGAGAGTAAATACTTGTGAACCACAAAATCCTGTCTCCTTAATGAGCTTCTGCCTGGATAACCCACATTGCCAAAAGTAATTGTTATGATAGAGAACACCCCTATGCAGAGACTGCACCATTTCTGCTAAAATTAACACAATGCAGGTGGGAATGGGCACAGCCAAGGATGAGAGTTTCCCATCTGGAAAGCAGAGGCATCCTTTCCCTGCCCCAAAACAGAACCGAGCTCCTCCTGCACTCCACGGCTACAGAATTCCTTGTCATGCAGCAATAAAGCACTGAGATAGCCCCAGGTTTTCCAGGGAGCACTCAGTGAGGGTCCTGCAGAGACTGGATGCCTTTTCCCCCCATCATATTCCTCTCTAACTGGAAAGACCAACATGTGGTGCCCTCAATTTCCTGAGCAACTTCTGTCTGGCACTATCAGTCTCTCACAGGTACCTGCATCATCTCTCCCAGCCCTGCTGCCTGTGCTCTCACCTCAGACAGACCATGCTTTCAGCACATCAGGGATCCTCAGGCACTCACCAGCAGCCCAGGCAACAGAGCTCTTTGTTTGCATCTATCTTCTATTTAGGGCTATTCATTCCAAAACTCTACACAGTAACAAAGAGATAATATTAGGAAAAAATATGTATCAGTCTCATCTCTATAGCACTTCTATAAATACAGGCACCTCAAGGCTACCCCAATACTTTATTAGCTGTTTCACAGGCATAAACTGAGATGAAGTACCTACAAAGGTAGACAAGGGCAGAGAGTACAACAACAAGATATTTAACAAAAGAAATGCGTGTGCTTTGATGACTATTCTAAGAAAGCACGAGAGACATTCATCACAAAACAGTAACCCTGCACGTTAAAAAGCAGTCAGAAGCCAGCAAGCTCCCTGTAAGAAAAGCCCTGCCCTCAGGTTGGCTTCTGTGAATCTCCTAACTGCCTTCCAGAAGCTGAAGGCAAATTCCCCCAGGAGGAAGAAATGCACTGGCCATCCTCCCATCCCTCCCATGCACCAAAAGCTTCTCCTTTACAGATGTCGATATGGACTGAAGGAGCGAGGCTAACCTAGAGCAAAGTGATATGGAAATAACTCTCGTAAGATGTTCTGGAAAGCTTAATCCAATCTTCTCTTGTGAACTAGATATTATTCCCCTATTACTTGCCTTCAGTGGTGATAAACTGCAGACAAAAGAGAAGAGGGATTCACACACCTCACATTTAAACACTCACAGTAAATACACCTCTCTCTTTTGCTTATCTCACAGCCTGGTATGGATTTCCTTTTAGTAACCTTCTGAATTACAATCAAATTATACTTTGAGGGCCATTGAATTGCATGACTTGCAATACCTTAATGGGTTCTGTTCCGGCTCCTTGGGAAGGACTTGTAATCCTGTCTTCTCCTATATTTCAGTGAGACTTTAGGATATGCTTCACTGCTATGCAGAACAGCACCTTCCCTAAATTCACCAGTGAGTTCTGTGCAAACAGTGCATGGGCGAGCGAACAGCCTCCTGTGAGAAAAAATTTAATAGCATATGCATCTTCTGCTTTACTGTACAGGGTTTGAATGATCCAATAATTCAAAAAAATCCTTCGGACTCATTTGTTCCATTTGATTTAATGGTGCGCAGCGTATGTGCCAGGTGGCTGCTGCTCTGCAAACTATTTGAAAATAAATGAAAGTATTAATGCTAAGAAATGGTGCAGCGTGTCACATTCCTCTGGATGCTGCTGGCAGCATATTTCTTAAGTATGCTATCATCCTAGAATAAAGAAATGGATGCTTTGTTAGTTATGGGCTATGCCACAAAGAAAAGACAGTATCTGCTGTGTAGTTTGCTTTGCTGCAGTGAAATACGTTTTCTTGTTAGACAATCGTTAAGGTAATGGAAATGGGAGAGGTGAAGGATAAATGGTCCCCACGTCCTGAAAAGACATTGCTCCAGGACTGAGTGCTGAAATTCAGAAGGTCAGGATGATGTCGGAGGCAAACGTGCTGATTCTTCAGAACGCAGAGCAGCCAGAGGGTGCACAGCTGTTCTCCTGCCTGCTCCCCTGTCCAGACCCAACACAAACAGCACACAGTTGGCCTTGAGTCAGCAGAGGGGTGGGGGCACTTCCAAAGCAAATCCCAATCACTCCCCACAAAGCAGCATGCACGTTCTACTGCAATATTCCTCATCCATGCCACCCAGTCCAGAGAAGGACCAGCCTCGTGATTTATGGGTGTATTTAAGGCAGTAGGACTTCTGCTGCCCAAATATTGCACCAGTTGCTGGTTTTGCTTTTTTTTTTCCTCCCTGAAATTAACATTCCTGATAGCCAAATAAACTGCCACAATGGTATTGTACCTTAAAACAGAAATGCTGCACTCATACGAGGAGAAAATGGGCAATTATTAATATATGCATCATGAATATTCAAATGCATTTGCAAAAAAGACTTCAACTGTGTCCTTCTCCTTTGTGGGCTTTCCACAAACACTGTAAAAGGGAAATTTCCTGGCAGGAGCATTCATCAGAACAGAAAGTTTTTAAGAAACTCAAAGTTACAGCAAACGTGGATGAAACATGCACTTTGAAATGGAACATCTTTGCAAGTGGAGCTGATTCTGGAAGCCTCCAATCAGGCAGCAGAAACTTCTCGTACGACCTGCTCACAAATAAAGCTGCTGAAAAAAGGGCTTATTTTGATAAATTATTCAGCAGAGATTTTTGAAAGGGCAAATATAAATGTGAGAAAAAAAGACAAACTTTGTCTGTAAATTATTCAGTCAGCATTGTGAGAGAAGAAACATGACAGCAAGCTAAGCCTGAAGGAGCAGCTACCTGCAAGCCAAGCCCACCCCCTGTATGCTACCAGCAAACCAGTGACTTGCAATACTGACTTCCCTCCAAGCTCTAAACCCTGGGCTCAGCCCAAGAATTGTCCTCATTAATTTCTAAGAGCCTAATCTTGCATCTGCTGGGGTTCAGTGCACAGCAGCAGCCTCCACCCCCACCTTTAACCAAAGCAGCAGCAGTTCTCACCCTTAAAACAGAAGGGCTCATGCCTTCTTTCATTCTTCCAGGCACTGGGATTGTTTTGGAGGATATTGGTTCTGTGCCACTTTGGCTCTATGATGAGACATCTCCAGTCTCTAACAGCAACAACCAATAGTTGGTCTTTCAAGTTAATCATGAGAATAAAGGAGCACAAAAACATACCCATGTAATTCTATCCAGAGCTTTTGTCTAAGTATCAGGTGATGTACAATTCCACAGTTCTGTCAGGTTTCCTCACATAGATGTCTGACAGCCTTCAAACCAAATTCATAATCTTACTGAATGCCTTCATGCCTTTTCTTTTAGTGGGAACATAGCATAGAAGGTCTATGGATACAATAAATAATTAAAAGAATCAGGAATAGCTGGTCTGAAAGAGGGGCCTCAAACATCCAGGCCTCTTCTTGATTTCATTTAACTTGTAGAGTTTTCTGTTTGTTTTACAAAACAGCCCAACAAGGATAATTAAAATAAAACGTGCATGGCTGTTCTAAATGCTCTCTGTCAAGCATAGAGGCAAACATCTATTTTTCTCAGGTTCTCTGATTGCCCAGGGAGATACAATTGTATTAGAAGCAGTATGTGGTGGTTCATTTTTCCCTCTTCACATGCCCCTTAACAACAGTTTGAATTAACGTTCAGCAAACGGTACTAAAAAAAATTAAAGGAAATTAATTAAACAACCTCGGAAGAAAAATGTCTTTCAAGAGAGCTTGGATGATTCAGTTCTACATAGCTGTGCACTGTAACTTCAGGAGATAAAAAAGCAGAATTATGCTGCACGTCTTCATGACTATGAAATATCACATTTTGAACATCTGTGTAGGTCCTACAGTCTGGAAGCATCCTCCCAAAGACCTGCTCTGAATACAGAGCAGCATCTCATTTCACACATCACCCCATCCCCAGCCTTTGCAGCAGAGCCCCAGTGCAGCTCAGCACCGCTTTGTTCACCAAATCCATTTCCACACATCCATACTCACTGCAATCAGTAGACAACTTAACATCCAAGTAGCTAAAATCTAAAAAAGTTATGGAAACACACGTTTATGAATTGCCCATGGAAGACCATCACATCAGCTCCAGGTTGCTGCAAGTCTGCCAGCTAATGCTGAACACAGTCCTCAGGTAATTCTTAATTTCATGTTCATATTATCAGTTCCTCCAGGTAATAACAAAGGAGAGATGGCAGAGATAGCGCCATGCTCTATTCTCATGTTGTACCATTATTCACAAATAATCTGCTCAGCACTGAGAAGCCACGAGGAAGGGATTAAACATGACACATGCAAGCAGCTTGCTGAACACACAGCTACATTTTCTCACCAGATGCTGCTTTTAGATAAGCAATGACTTGAGTGTCTACCCACCTTTCCACCTATCTGTCTTAAGGGCTTTTAACCCTTACCAGCGTAATTCAAAAAGAAAATGAAGATTGCCAGCATTGGGCTGAGTGAGCCCAGCACTCAGGGATGGAGCTGAATGGAGAGCTGGGTTCTCCTCTCCCAGCCCTGCAGCAGCACAGCCTCCTTGTCCCCTCCTGATGATGCTGGAGCTCAGTCTGTGGCAGACCAGGACCTGACTGGTCCTGGAACCTGCTTCCAACAGGTTCTGCAGGTTTTAGCCTGTATTGCTTGTGAAGCACCTGAGTGGTAAGTGGTACAGAAATCTAAAGTGATTCTCTTGATAGAGGCTGGAGATGAACCTATTTTTGGTACGTGAAGAGTAGTTATGGACTTGGCTCAAGGCAGTTACTGAAGAGTGTAAGCATCCAAAAGGTGACAAAAATAGTTTGACTAAAAGTATTCTAAAGCAAAAAAAACCTTCCAAACCCTCCCCAGAATCTATTGTTATGGCTTAAAGATGGAGCTCTCAAACATCTCCTTGTCACAACAAGAGGCAGAGACCTGGGAGAGCTGCTGAGTCGATGCTGAAGAGGCACTGCAGGAGCTGTGCTCCCAGCACAGACCCCAGGCTGGCTCTGCTCCACTTTACAGCATTTCCAAACTTTCCACTAGCTTATATTTTACGTCAAGACCACACTTCATTAAAAGCAATATACATTTATAAATCTGAACAATTACTTCCCACCTACTTTGGGTCAGTGGGTGTGTGTCATTAAGGACAAACTACACCTGCAGGCCAATATGGACTCTCACTCCAGGACGAGTGGCACTTTTTCACACAGGCTGTGAAATAAAAAGTGACTGATGCAGCAGCGTGTTTTAATTGCTTTCTTCATAAACTATCAAATTAAACTTTAAGAAGCTGGAGACATCTCTTATTAGATTGCGACTGAACTCAGAGATGTAACTTGTAATGAAACTTCCCATACCAGAAAGCATTTCTGTGATTTTAATTATATTCATCAGCCTATTGCATGTAATAACTTCCCAAAGCTGCTTGTTCCCACTTAAAATGGACTCCAATTGTGTTTGAACCAGACAGAGCTCCCCTCTGCTGCCAGCCCCCATTTCTGTGGGCATTCCTCTCCCTGGGGTGCATGTCTTACACATGTTGCCTCTGCCTTTCTCTCCATACAGCACCAAACAGGCACACAGCACCAGAAAGCAGAAAGGCAGCAAGCACTATGGCACGTCTTTCTGGTGAGAAAGCCAACCATAGCCACATGTGGACTTACTAGTCCAGAAAATCCCCAACTGGAAGCATTCAGCTTGCAAAAAACATTAATGTGCTGCCCTTGCCATCGCTGCCAAGGTATATTTTCCAAACTCCATTATTCTTGTAAATCACTGTGGGTTTTGTTTTTGTTTACTGTGGTCTTGTTTTAAGATGTCACAGTCTTTATTAAAAAAAAAAAAAAAGCATTAATTTTCACTCCCCTGTGATGAGTGTTGGTTATTTTCACTACTTTAAGCAGTAATACGCTCTCAACTAAGCAAAGCAGCAGCAGTTAAAAGCTGTGCTGGTCTGCAGATTTGACTTGCAGAACTCACTGATAAAAGACAACACATCTGGGGGCCAACCAGACAAGTATAACATCCACAGAAGTCACTGGATCTAATTTTTGAACCAAGCCTTAAGGGAAGAAGAGGAGAAACAGAAACGAGAATGAAGCAGCTGCCAGGAACATGAAAAACCACAAAGGAGAGCGAGACAGAGAAGCGGAAATGTTGAAGTTGTCAGGAGAGGAAAAAAAGAATAAAGAGATGAAGAAAGGAGTCTCAAACTGCCAAAGTTATCACAATTTTATATAATGTATTAATGTAGCAGAGAGAAAGGGAAAAACACTTATAAACTGATTTCTGCTTCAGGCAGGAGTGCAGCCTGCAGGTTATTTATTTCCTTATTTCAAGCTCTGTTAGTCAGCATGGTTCACCACAGTGAGCCCCTGACCTCCCTCCTGCATGCCCTTGTACAACTCATTACAGCTGATCTGGTGACCCAGGTTCTTTGGTCACACAGTGACAATCCCAGGGGCTCAATTTCCATGTCCTCCTTTTGG